TCAATGGAAGGTCCCCACGGGGTCGAGAAACAAACGTGTGTGTGCGTGTGTGTGTGTGTGTGTGTAGCTCTGAAGATCTTTCTTGTGTTTTTTGTACTTGTACTGCATTTATAACTGCATTCAAGATAAATGTGCTAACTTTTTAAACAGTGCCATAAGCTTTTGGACTGGATTTTTCCAATTCTGTTTGGAAAGCTGCAGGAACGTCCGTCACGCACTGCAGTAGTCTTTCTTCAGACATTTTAAACTTTTCTCTGGAAATTTAATGCTAAGTTCACCTCTTTACTCACCTCCAGACTGCAGCAGAGTCCATCTGTTTGTTTGCAGAATGCTCTACTTCTCCAAGTTTTTTTTTTTTTTTTTGGTCATACATCACTAAATTGATTTTTTTATCACCCCCTTGCACTCAACCATAAATATCTAGTCCTTTAATTATAAATGTATACTTCATGTTTAATGAGAGATCATATTTATTTACCGTTATTTACTTAGGCTTCATTAGGTTACACAAACAAACAAAAAAAAAGACTGATTAAAAAGAAAAACATTTTTAGAGCCTGAATATTGGTTTCTAAGAATCCACTCAGAGTGGGTGTTTAAAGTTTTATGGATCCAACTGTGCTCATCTTCTTATAACTCACAGCACGTCCACTGTTTTTTGGTGAGGTTAGAGAGTCAAAGTTATCTGTATTTATAAGATACTTTAATTTATTTCAATTCTAAAAAGTTGTTTTCTGCATATTCTGCAGTATTTGATTTGAGTCTTTTCACTGTAATCTTGTTTTTTTATTATTTAATCAGGAGCCAAATACATTTAAATTTATACCCAAAAAAAGAGGTCTTTCCACCAGAATAATAGTGCGGTACTGAGCAGCGTGCGTTCTGCAGACCCGCTCTGTAAAACCCCAGACCGTGCAGCTGGGAGCTGTTCGGGTGTATGCGCGTGAAGCGACGGCGTCGTGTTTTTAACCACGGCGCACACATTGCATCTTGTCCCCGCTAAATGGGACACGCTGGGACACGGGCACATGAGACACCCAGCATCCTGTTTAAATGAGTAACGAAGCGCTTTCCAGAGATTTGCCTGCTGTCCTGTAAAAACCATAACCACATCCTCACTTCAGAGACGCTGCAGGATTTACAGCGCGCCAAGAGATAAATCACGTTTACAGTTGATGTTTACAAGTTGACACGTACAAGTTCAGAAGTCTTGCAAACACATGGTATGATTTTTTTTCTTTTTCCATTGACTGCAGCATCTGTTCGACTAAAGGTAATTCATTGTAGCTTTAGAAAGATAATTATCAGCCCTGTGCTGAAAGGAGATGGTGGACGATGTGTTTTGACTATGTCTGTCTGTCAGCAAAATATCACATGAACCACTGAGTGTGTTTTAATGAATATACTTATTGGAAGTTACATGCATTCCTTTAAGAAAGCTGTGTATACTACCGAGTTTTCTTTGTTTCCTGTCATCCGTTAGTTCACTTGTTGGTGACGTAACACAGATCATTGAGATTTTTGTGCTGCAGCCTTTGCTCTGAGTTTCTAGAGTTCTGCAAATGACAGCACGATGGAGGCTATAAACAGGGTTTTGTTTCAAATCTCTTCTTTCCACTCAACTTTGTTTAAAAAAAGCTTCATTATTTTGGCTGCAGATGAACTGAACACATTGCTATTGTAATTAGCACCCTGCTCCTTTTTCAAAAGAAATTTTAAACCTCTTACTACTCACCTTTCAGTTTTTTTTGGCAGAGTACAAGCCTTAACTGCATGAAGTCACAGGAACTAAACACTCAAAACTACTTTTTTGTTGTTATTTGATCTGCTTGTTAAAGTAAAATGAGCTGTACAAGTATTTCCTGTACCATGGTGGTGTCTTTGTTTTTACCATTATCTGGAATGCGGTACAGTAAATCTTATTTTCATGGTTTTTGACGCCCTGTTGTTGTTGACAAATTATTATCAGCTGAGTTTAAAACTCATCTCAGGACTAGTTGGACATGAATGCATTAATCTTGTCTTTAGCAGACTGTGTGGGCCAAATCTGGTGTCAAGCTGGAACTGCTGGCTGACTGCTGGCACGGCAAGTGGTTTGTCAATCAGATGTGGGCCAGGTCTGGCAATAATGGTCCTGTTTTTAAGATGACATGCCATGACTGGCCTAGTTGTAGTTTGGTTAATGTGGCCTAAATCTGTCATTGCCACATCTGGCTCTGTTCAGGTTTGGTTAATGTGGCACAAATCTCTCATTGCCATGACTGGCCTGGTTGTAGTTTGGTTAATGTGGCTCAAATATGTCGTTGCCATGACTGGCTCGGTTGTAGTTTGGTTAATGTGGCTCAAATCTGTCGTTGCCACGACTGGCCCGGTTGTAGTTTGGTTAATGTGGCACAAATCTGTCGTTGCCACAACTGGCCTGGTTGTAGTTTGGTTATTGTTGCACAAATCTGTCATTGCCACGACTGGCCTGGTTGTGGTTTGGTTAATGTGGCACAAATCTGTCATTGCCACGTCTGGCTCTGTTCAGGTTTGGTTAATGTGGCACAAATCTGTCATTGCCACGACTGGCCTGGTTGTAGTTTAGTTAATGTGGCACAAATCTGTCATTGCCACAACTGGCCTGGTTGTGGTTTGGTTAATGTGGCACAAATCTGTCATTGCCACATCTGGCTCTGTTCAGGTTTGGTTAATGTGGCACAAATCTGTCGTTGCCACGACTGGCCTGGTTGTAGTTTAGTTAATATGGCACAAATCTGTCGCTGCCATGACTGGCTCGGTTGTAGTTTGGTTAATGTGGCACAAATCTCTCATTGTCATGAGTTGCTCTGTTGTAGTTTGGTTAATGTGGCACAGATCTCTCATTTTCATGACTGGCCCGGTTGTAGTTTGGTTAATGTTGCACAAATCTGTCATTGCCACGACTGGCTCGKTTGTGGTTTGGCTTATGTGGTGCTGGGCTTGCCCGTGCAGGGACCACTTCTGGCAAACCACATCTGGGCCACCAAAGTGCCATCATTCTTCGTGGTATCTGGACTAAGTGTTATGAGTGTTTGTGCATTGTGTGGGCCAGAACTGGGCCAGACAAATTTTACCATGTGGGAAGGATTGCACAGGTTAAATACCAACAAACTATTTTGGAGTTGTCTGATGAGCTGGTATCATACAGACTTCAGTGATGAGCTTYAGGTTGATCGAATGCTAATAGTTTGTGTGAGACGAGCCTAAAAAGATCTACAGCCAGTTGACCTCTAGGTGGGTTTAACAATTTATGCTTTTCAAGAAGTAACAAGTTCAGTCGCAAAAAGCCACACATTGTAATAGCTGTGTGGTTAAGCAAAGGGCAAATAAATGGAAACTGCTTTAAAACTTGCTCATTTTTATTTCATGGTGATGTTGGTTTTCATAACGACAGGACTCTCATCGGTTCACTCAAAGAGTATTACTGGTAAAATTCCTGTCTGTGAAGTATTACCCCATAACTGGACGTTTGTCTCGTTGCTTCATTGTTATTATTGCAAGTGACTAAAAGGAGGAAGTTCCCAGAAAGTGATGCAGAACAGACAAGGCTCTGATTGCTTTCAATTCAACACCATTTCCATTTAGACTTCCCAGTACAAAAAACACTTTGTTAGATTTTAATAATGCTTTAATGTTGATATAAAAAATAGGTTTGAAATGGCCAAATCTCCACAGTGTTTCTGATTCTCAAATGTATTTGAAACCAGTAGCTTTATAAATTGAAGTATTTTTTACTGAATGGAAAATATGCACAATCATATATTTTTAAGCTCTGTCAGTGTGCCCCAGGGCAGCTGTGGCTGTAGCTTACTGCCATCAGTGTGTGAATGTGTGTGTGCATGGGTCTGAAGTGTAAAGCGCCTTGGGGTCCAAGTGGACTTGATAAGGCGCTATATAAGTTCAAGCCATTGACCATTTATATGTTTTTACTAAAATACTAACATAGCATTGGTGATTTGAGACTTGAATGGGTTTTTAACAGACGTTTAGGACTGTAGCCTTTTCTAATCTCAGAGTCCAGGTTTCACTTCAGCATTGTTTCTGCCATCTTTTCCTTGGTATATGGACAGCGTTCTCTTGTCGTCTTTGTTTTAGGTTCTTTGTGTTGCTGCTGACAGACTGAGTACAGCATGGGTTTCCCCCCCCCCGGGTTGTACTTGTGCCTCTGTGAAGATGTACTGTATGTCAGAATCGGAGCTGTACAAATGAAGTGGATGTTCCTGTG